ACTCCTTTGTCTTTGCGACGTTGAGGGTGAGATGGTTGTCTTGACACCAGTGGGTCAGGGCGCTGACCTCCTCCCTGTAAGCTGTCTCATCACTGTTGGTGATAAGACCCACCACTGTAGTGTCGTCCGCAAACTTCACAATGATGTTGGAGTTGTTAGTGGCCGTGCAGTCGTATCAAATATATCAAATACTTCCCTTCAAAATTTCATCCAACTGCAGGACAGGTAAATGCCTTAATGCAGCACGAGAGGCTCTTCAAAGTGAGCAGCTTGTTTTTCTCACTTGGTACTTGCTTTTTCCCCCCTCTGACCCTGACCTCTGCCTGTGTGTTGGCACATTCCACATTCAACTCACAACCACTCACCCACTCACTCATCCATCTCTGTCTTTTCAGTCTGTTCTCTGCTTTGTGCTCATTTTATTCCTCCTGTTTTTTCTGGGGTTTTTTGCACAAAGTGTCTCGCTGTTATCACACGTACGGCACATTATGCAACTGCAGTTCAGAACAGCAGCATTGTTGTGCGCTCTCACCTTCCTGCTGGTAAAACTGTGCATAACAGCCGGCGGTAAATCGCTCAAGAATGCCACACATTGTTCAGTAATGCGAATACGTTGACAGGAGCAAACTGGTGTGTCCCGCCCCGTGTGTCCTGCTGCAGCGCCAGGACAGGAAACTGAGGTCTGGGATGGTCTCAGTTCATGCCAGGTCCACAATAAGGTTAACAGCTGCTGGCTGCCATGACTATAAAATCCTTCAGGCTGCCATAAACATGTTCCCTCACAGCAGAGTCAGGAAACAAAAGGGCTGCATCTCTATGAGTCATCTCATCATTAATACAGACACCAGAAGTGCATTTTTAATAAAACAAGTAATACAATAAAACTATTTCAATACATTCATCACTGGGGTTCAGCAATACTCTGACACTTGTTCCCATCACAGTATCAAACATCTTTATGTTCAGGATGAGGATGACAAATGTGTAAAACGTTATTATCTTTGCCTCGGCACCACTACATTTTTCACTTCTGCACATGATGAATGTTGAGGCTTGTGGATCTCAGAGATATTTTATCTGCCTGACGTATCAGGCTTTCTTTCAGTGCCAAAAATAATAATAATAATAATCTTCAAGTAACAGTGAAGATTTCCTCCTGCTCTTTTTAGTCTTCTGCATGTTCCTGTACTCCACCCATGCTGTCTTTTTGACAATTAAACCATCTTTTAAACAATCAGATATTCAAAGCTTTACAAAAATCCCATTTCTAGGCTCATTTTTCTGTTTATAACCAACTACAGTCACACCTGGTGTGATGGCCTCAGCCACACATTGGTAAAAAACCAGTCCACTCACCTCATTGGTTTGGTTTTGCAGTTAAAAATGTATTTCAGTAATGTCATTCATTCATTTCTTCACTTAAACCTAACAGTGATATTATGAAGTCCGCACATAGTAGCGCTGTGTGGTTTCTAAAATGTATTTTGTCAAATTAAATGTATATTATATCATGGTTCTCTTTCTTTTGTTCAACCTGGTTTGGCTGTTTCCTGCCTAAGCAAAAGGCATGACTTTGAAAGTACAATGCCAGCTCAGCAGGACCAACTATGTGCGTGTCAGCAAGGGGGTGTTTTAGGGTTAGTTAGGTTATTTTGTGCTTAGTTAGTGTTTATTTCTGTTTCCCTTATTGTATGTTAACGGTTTGGCCAAACCACTATCCAAGTTACCCTCTTGTGTCTTTGTGTTTAAGTTGTGTATACTTTTTTTGCCTAGTGAATTTTCTGTAAGTCATTTTTTGAGTAGAATCATATTTAGTTTAGCTCTTTTATTGGGGTAAAATAAAATAGAACCCACCTTCAGGCTGTATTTCCTGTGTCCTCTATGCCTTCACTGCTTGGTCCCTCACATCTAGATTTAAACTTCTCTGAGAAGTTCCAACGTGATTTTAAATCATGACATAACACATAAACAGCTCTTCCGAGAGTCTTTAAGGACCTGTTGATGCCGGTAATTTGTCTGTCCACGTCCTCTTAGATCTGATTACAGCATATGACACTGTAGCTTATTTCTGTCACATCTTGAATTGTGTGTGGGTATTAAAGGTACAGCCCTAAAGCACATTTAGCAGAAGTAATTTTTTCTTGTTTTTACAGGTAAAAGCTAGCATTTTCTAGCATTTTATGCCAGAATTGACCACAAACAGACTTCACCGTGCAAACACAGTCTGGCTGACCATGTCAGACTCCAAACGACTGCAAACTGACTCAAAGTGAACTCACCGTCCAGCTCATCCTGGGACTTCACACCACGTCTGTTGCGTCTTCTGAAGAAGTTTGAGGCATCGGCCTGCTTCATGAAGACCCTTTTCAGTGGACCTGCAGTGGAAGCGGGAGGGAGTTTAGTTCACAGTGTAAAGTGATACACAGGGCGATACGCAGGGAAAGAAACGCAGCTGATGCAGCCCCTGACCTTGAGGATCTTTAGTGCTGCCTGTGCTACCGGGCACAGCTGCAGAGCTGGCCTCCGGAGACCCTGTGTCGAAGCACAAAACATGAAAGGTCTAAATTCAAAAGGACTCCAGTTTTTCTCATGCCTGCAACCAACTAATAAGACAATTTTTTTTGGTAAAAAATCTCACTCCTGCATCATACTCACATGAAAGTGCAAAAAGCACAGTGAGGAGAGCCAAGAGGGTTGCATACGTCCAGGACATCTTTTAAACTCTGAAATACTGAGAGATGTGAGTGATGAAGAAGAGCAGGAGGGAGAGAGGGGAGTAAGACGTATGTGAGAGGTGGGATGGGGCGCCTGGGGCGATATCGACTGCTTCTCAGTGCAGGGAGGGAGTGATCGTGCAGATCTGATAAGGGGCTGAAACCAACAAACATGCCAGAGGGCTTCCAAGTCACAAGAAGGTGCCGAGGGTTTCATTTCAGCTCAGCAAACATGCTGCTTCTCTCTTTTTTTTCTATGAATTTTAGTTGAAATTAAAATGACCTGAAATGACACAATCTATGGAACTATTGCATCAGTGACACTTGCAACTGTTTCATTAATAAAGAAGAGAAAACATACTGTAGGTGTAACCAGAAAAATTATAGTCCGGGCTGCTTATGCTCTGGCTTCCTGGATAATATTTGTTCCAGAGACGATGGATGGGAGACAACAAAAATACTGATGTTTCTTTTTTTAAAAAAAGTGACAGAAAACAGTTGAGGCCGGGAGCCGGAGCAGGGACTCCTTGCCAAATGTCTCCTTTGAAACGGGCCCCCTCAACAAGGCCGCTCTCTCTGCTAGGCAAAGAGTTGTGCAGGAAAGTATGCAGCCCTCTGTTTGCTTGAATTTCTTCCAACCTGTACTCTGGCCGGGCCCCAGAAAAGAGTGAATGTTTAAATTGTTTTGAGGGAAAATCCAGGAGTCGGGGGACTGGTGCTCAGAGAGATACGAAGATTCTGGAGTGAGGGTTTTGAGAAGATATGTGGTGAGTGTATTTTATTCAGGTAGGTGTGAAACAGAACAACATAGGGACTGAAGAAAACTGCAATATTAAACAGCAACAACAATGTCTGTGAGTGCATAAGGGGGAAAAAACCCAGTGTGCTGATAATACATGCATTTGGATTATATATTTCTAGACTGTGACTTGAATAATTTAAAGTTTTCTGTGACCTGCTCAGGGGCTACAGCTGCAAACTATTAATTTTGCAACAATCTGGCACGTTTACATTATATTTTTATACTCATGTTTATTACCATGCACCGCCCCTGTTAAATAAATAAATAAATTTTCAAAAAATTTAAAAAAAATACATGTGTCTGTGTTTCTTTCCACGCCTTCCTTTACAATATCTGAGCAACTGTGAAAAGATATTACTTCATAGGGCAATTTTCATTCATTTCATTATAGGTACTTTCTCTAATTACTCTCTGCAGACCGTAACTAAAGCTGTCACCAGCAGGAGGCAGAATTTTACCAGTATGTGTGTTTAGATGTTTTCAGTTATATGCTTCCTGCTCCTGGGCTGTTATTGTAAATACGAATATGGTCATAATGTCATGCCTGGTTAAGAAAAATACAAAAATAAAAATCTCACTGCACCATCTTGTGGTGCGGGGTGGAATTGCATGAAAGTACAGCCTGGCTCCAGCTCTGCTTCAGTAGATGTCACTTCATTACAACACACACATTTTGTACATCAAGTCCAGGTATGTAGTGCTATGTGTGATCACATGTTCACCCACTTCCATGCACATAGTTGAGCCTTTGCAGCCATGCTGGCACTTCTTTTTTTCAACTGTTGATCTAGCCTGATGCAGAGCCTAGTTAAGAAATGAAGTGTTTCTGTGCAGTGAAAGACTAAAGGCTTTTAATTTGAAATAGATATAAGCAGTGCCGAATGTCCATAAAGAGCATAATGCAGTAAATTGAATAGCGTGGAAGCAGATCAAAAGAAAACATATCTGACGATTTCTTATTTACTCTGTTTTATATCAAACAGGGAGAAAGAAAAGCCTTAGCAGATGAGTGAGATACAAGTCAGTGACCACTGGATAAAATAAAGTGTCCATGTGAAAAAAGCAACACTATTCCTAATTATTCCTCTAAATGAAAAAATGGTTGAAATAAAAGCATTTTATTTGTACTCATTAATGTTGACACCGGCAGCTACGTGCAGTTTGAAAGGTGGGGTGGTTTTTTTCTTTTATTGAAGTTACTTAATGCAGGAGCTTCAGTCCTGAGTCAGTGAACACTTTGAATGTCAATTTAACAGCTGTTTTCTGCGAATTATGATGAAAATTGCAGCAAATAAAAGGAACTTCAGCGACATTATAAACTTTTAACAACTGATTGAACCTGGTGGAGGATTACTCGCTGAGCTTATCATTTTGTCTGTTTTTTCTCTTAAATAATGCAAGAAACCTGTGGATCAAAAAGAGATGAGCCAGTTGATGGAGGAAACCAAATGGCTATTAGAAAAACCAGCAACAGCAGTTTTTGTTACTGGAATGACTGGGTTACTGAACTTTAGCTTCCCTTTATGCTCACTGTATTTGATTATTGCAGGGGTATGGAAGGTCTTAATCAAATAAAATATATTTATTAAACTCCTTTCACTCTTTGTTCCACATTTAATTTGCAGGATCTGGTTTATTCCTGCAGCAGTACATCTATGATTGAGTTTTTCCATTATTTTTATATAAACAAATTTGAAATAAGCATCTTTAATGGATTAGGTCAGGGATTTAAAACTCATTTTACAATATGGGCTACATACAGCTCACTTTGATTTTAAGTATGCAGAACAAGCAAAACTCCTTTTTTTGTCAGGGTAAAGATGTTTAACATATTTAATCCAACTGATTATAATAAAAAAGTGCAATTAAATGGGTAAATCTGGTTTTCCCCTTGTACAATACAGAAATGCTGCTGTAGTAAATGCAGTAAATATGTCAGGAAAAATAGATAATAACAGATAAACTTCTGGTAGCTCACTGCTCAGAAAATGTCCCTTCCTCCCCATGGACCTTTTATAAAAAAAAAATATAAATTCTACAATAGATAGTGAACAAACAGGAACTTTTTGAACTTTAGTTGTTATTGCTTATCTATTACTTAATTACAATGATGTTTTATGAATGGCAGTGGCGAAGGTCTTTATCAGTAGGAATTACGCCCTTTTCCAAAGCTGTCCAGTGGACCTGATTGGGTTCTTTCTCGGGCCGATCCGTGGCTCCCGGGCCTTGTGTTTGACATCCCCTTACTTTCGGTAGCCTGCTATACAACCATTCTCCAGTAGGGGCCGCTGTAGCTCTGCACTGGCCGCCTTTCGGTCTCTCCTGTGCACAACCATCGAGTGTCGCTGTTTCCCCGCTGACACCTCGACAGCACGGCAGTGTGGTGGCAGGCAGGCAGCGTCAGCTGGCAGAGGACACACTCAGATCAACTAGTAATCGCCGTCGTCCCCCGCACTGCTTACGCTCTCCTCGACTGAAAACCCAACGACAGCACTTCCTATTTTCTACCGGGAGAGAAACTTTGAAGCCCGTAAACAAGCCATGCCGCTGGACGCGACAGCCCCGCGGATATAAGCGACACTGCGGAGCAGAAAGTATCTACGACCTCACCGAAACCACAAAGAAGAAGAAGCAGTCGGTGCTTTCTTTTTTCACACTCGGAGGGAAAGACGGCATCCGGCCTGAGAAGAAGCTCCGAGGTCGGGGACTCCGGTCGGACCAACGCGAATCGTTTCTGGTGAGAGTCCGCACATTTTCGCTGTGGGACTAGTTTCTGTGAACTAAACCACGCAGTTAGAGCAAGTTAGAGGCGCACACAGCCTGAACAACGTAGCAATGTTTACTTCACAGCCGCAGTTTGAATGCAGCGTTTGTTGTGTGTGAGCACTTCAGCCTGCCCCATTCACCGGCGAATGGCCACCTTTAACTAAGACAAACAGCGAGAGGAGCTCCGAGCTGGACGAATAACGACTAAACTACCTCTAGAGAGGGTTATAATTTATCCTCGCTGCCACAGAGAGCTGCTGGTTAAATATCAAGTGTCAGCTTTGTTGTCAAATACCACCAAGAGCAGTTGCTCGTCAGTGAACTGTGTGAGGCTGGGGTTGTAAAAAACAGGAGGATTGACTGGCTGCTGTGCTTGTATCGTCTTGCACAGTCACTGCCCCACATTTCAGAGATGCCCAGTCTTTCTGCTCCACGCCCCCCACCCTCTCAAACTACCTGAAGCAGGGCGCAGACCGTACTAGTCTCTGAGCTCACTGACAGCCATTACTGACAGCTTTAAGCCGTTTCAGCTGTTGTTGTGTGAAGGCCAAGACAGCAGCAGCAGACAGGAGCTTGCACGGAAAATGGTTGGAGAAACACCACTGCAGTTTGTTTTTTAGGGATCTCGCCCTGAAATTGAGCTTCCAGTGGGTTTCTATGGGGAGTTTACCCGATTGTCATTGTGTAGCAGAGAATAATTGTTTTACAGGGAGACAGCATTGTTACAGCAAAACACCCCCTAAGGCACGTTGATTTCTGTGTGAAAGCACCCAAGTTGTCACCAACCTTACGGAGAGTGTGCTGACTGAGAGTACATGCTAACTCTGTATAGTCAAAGTTAATGCATCAGTCCTGCAAAACCAACCTCACTGCGGGCTTATTTCTGCTGGAAGTAAGAGAAATCCGGGGGATTGACTCTAATTAAGCTTTTTGCAAATGCAATGGAGTTTAAAGCATTTCAGACGGAACTTAGATAATAATAGTCGCTTCACTAACAGACCTATCACGGGTGCTTATGGGAATATACCAACTTTTATGTAAAAAGTCAATCAAACGGATGTTTAACACTCATGCTTATGTCAGATTGACTCTGGAAAACAAATAATAACTCAATAAAAGGCAGTTATTTTTTAAATCCATGGGTATGCTCAGCACCTAAAATTAGTTTAATTTGTACAAGTGTATATAGAAATATCTGAAAAATATTCTCGTTATTGTTTTTTAGCACCTTTGCCAGTAAATGTTGTGCATTTCGTGTTTCAGTAGCTGAAACAGCTCACTGTTTCAGTTTTAGATTAACACGAGGAGCCGCTGCTTTCAAAATGGAACTTTATTCAGCACAGTTTTAGAAAAGCAATGTCTGTTTTACTTTCAGGCTTGGCACGCTTCAATATTGAGCAGCCAAAAACATGTGGCCACAAACTTCCGGGACAAAAAAATGATGATTGAGGTCACTTCTGACTGATTTTAGTGATACCCTGCAAAAAACAAACAACACAAAAACAGTGATATTCCACACCGTTTACAGTGTTTACTGATGGCTGCCACTTTCTCAGTTTCCTGTAAGCAGGTTTCACTTTGACAGACTCAAGCTGCTGAGCTTCCTCGAGCCACGGGTGTCCCTGAGGACCTTTCGAAAGTGTGTCTGCTTCGGGTTCGGTGCCCGCAGGAGGTCAGGGAGCTGCTGGAGGACAGTGTGCCCGAGGGTTGGCTTGAAGTGGGGTCGTTCCCTTGGTGAGGGCCGCGGGGATGGTGGCGGCAGGGTAACGTGATCCGCTGTGAAACAGCTGTAGCCACTCGGTGCTGATCCCTTGAGTCCCAGTGCAGATCAGATGATGCTCCAGTATGTGAATGGGTGGGTGTGTGAGAGAGAGCGAGGACTTGAATGCATGGGTTTTCATGCCTTCAGGGCATCAAGTCAATGCTTAAAGTCAATTTAAACCGAAATTCACTGACTTTTTGAGAGAAATTATTTTCGTATCTATTCAGTGTTTTGACTGATGGAAGAAGTCGTTCTTACCGATCTTCTGTGTGTGTGTGTGAGCTCAGGTTGAAGCAGCAGGTCAAGGCAGCTGGCTGAAGGTTAATGTGTCACTGCTCTCTGGGTAGCAGCTGCAGGCACCGCTCCTGTCTATAGATAGCCACGAATACAAACTTTACTTCTTTTCTCCGCTGCGTTAACATAAGAGCTGCGGCGCAGGCATGCAGCCCCAGAAGACAAATGCTGATCCTTTCGAGTTTGACCACTTCCACACCCTCATTCTCTGTCTGTGTCTGAATCTGGAAGTGCCTGTCAATGCTAAAGACCCCTCTCCCCTCCTCCTCCTTGTCCAGCTTGGAGCCAGTTGGCTGAGAACCTGTGTGAGCTATATCAGTAATACCTTACAGCACATATCTGGGTCATCATCTG